GTTCAAGAGCAAAGAGCGCCGACGTACAGGCATAGCAAAATAAGCAAAGTTCAGGCGAACTTTTAAAGATCGACGGGCGTGGATCTTCGGTATTTTCCTTTGGGAGATTATCGCATCAAATGAGGATGACTTCAAGAGAAGATGTCTTCGGCATCATTCCCTAGCTTGCGGAAAGTTGTCACAAACAACTGAAGGTAATTTCGGGCGAAATTATCTTCGATCATAGATCCTGAGGCATGGAACGTGATCATAATGCGGATGAGAATTATTTCAAGAGAAATAATTTTCGATGATATTCCCTTGGACGTGGAATATTATCATTACGGAGAAGGTAGTTTCAGGCGAAGCAATCTTCTAATTTGTAGCATTTACAAGGCGTAGCGGTTTTCAAGCGGGATGACATTCTCTAGCTTGCAGGAGGTCATCAAAACAGATCGGTTACTTTCAGAGACGTTTGCTCGACGGTGCAAGATACGCGTTTCTTAACTCTTTTATCTGTTTAACTAATGCTATTTTTGCAGGTATCGGCGTTACAAGATTGATTTAGGATCGCAGAACGTTCTGAATCATTCTCCGTCCCTATCGTTACTTTGACTTTCATTTTTCGAAACTTGCGTTTCTCCAAACTCGGTCAAAGTGGGGGCTTCTGTAGACACCCATTTGTGTCTCCCCAAAACCAAACCCAGTGATGAGTACCTTTCACGTCGAATCATAATCGAAAGAAACGAAAGTGTGGAAAGGTTTAGCGTTGCGGAAAGTTTTATTTTCTTTTATTTTCTTTTCTCTTCTCTCTGTTTTTGAAAACTTTATTTTATGAAAACAGCCAATCCAGTTTGGTTGGTCCATGATATGGTTCCAATAGTGGTTTAGTTGGATGGGGCTTGCAAAGACCTTTCTAACGATATATTATAAGCCCAATTCCGTTGAATATTGAGGAAGTTATGGCCAATTTACTAAACTGGGCCCGGTTTGAGTTTTAAGTACGGCCCAATGATCTAGGGGAGGGCCTAATATGATTTATCATTCCTAATGTAATTAGGAATGGTTTTGGTCTTCTAGAACATTCTAGAAGGTTCTTATCATTCTTAATTCAATTAGGATTCTTTAGAGTTTTAATTAGATCAAATAGCATTTTCGACTGAAATTATATTATTTTATCTTCCAGTACGGGAATTTTATCAGAATTTCGAAAACGCGTTAAAAGCCGGTTTGGCGTCCAACCCCAGGCCTTGGCGCCTAGAACCAGGATTGGCGCCAGACGCCAGCCATTGGCGCCTGGCGCTAGCCACTGGTCCTGGCGCCAATGAGCCAGGGCTGGCGCCAAGGTGGTTTTGTGGTCTACAGACTCTGTATTGATAAATTATTTTTTTTTTGGCTGATATTCTCTATAAATATCGTATCAAAACTCCGTTTTCATGGACGGATTGTCAACACGAATACACCAACTATCTACATTTATTAATCAATTCTCATCAATTCTCTTCATTCATCATCTTTCGTTCATCAATTTTTAATAACATTGATTCTTTAGTATTCTTTTCTACTTTGCTTTTTAATACAAAATTCCGCATTCACAAGATCTTGATACACCTAGCCATATTCGAAGTTTCCTTCGCCCTAGACGTGAAAGGTTTTAATTTCTGAGGGTTTGGTCCCAAATCTCTCTTTCAATTATTTTAATTTAATTGTTTTGATTATTATTTTCCTTGAAGTTACTAACGTGTGTATTTTGTAATTAGAAAGAGGTATGAGGCATCTAAGTAATTACTTTATTGATTTATTGATTTTATGATGTAGACATCATGTTTATATTGTTATTATGATATTCCTAGTATCATGTCTAGGGTATCTTTAATATCAAGTATGATTAAAAGTATGATGCTTCCTATATTCTCCCTAATATTTATGATTATTATTATTAATTATCATGATTATTTATTATGTTGCTTGACACATATTATATATTGTTATTGCTCGATCACCTTTTATTGCAGGTTAAAGGGAATTGGTATTTGCAATCACGCTTAATAAGATAATTAATAATCTTATTAGGGTTAATATGATTATAATTCAAGTGATCGTCAATAATAGTTTATTTGTGCATTAAATTCAACCAACATAGATTAAACAGGTTTAGGGTTAATCCTATTGATTGTATGTTAGTCAGAAAGCGCACATGAATACGAGCAGAATAAAGTAGAGGCCTATTATTAGGGCAGGTTCAATCTCTTTTAGGTTGGATTTGTACCTTCATCCCCGAACCCTTATTTGGTTCATGACCTTATGGATTTGGCGATCTCTTGGATCGTTAAGGGGTGTAACCTTTACCTCGTGAACGGTTTACAAGTTCCTTAAAAACTTGTTGGCGACTCTTTTGCTCTATCTTCTTCCCTTTTGGACGCCACCGTACTTTAGTGTATGATCACAGTGGGGTTCGAGCTAGTGGGATTTTTAAGGCTTGAAATTATTCCGTACAGTAATGTACATATTTAAAAACTTACATAGTTGAGCAATTTAATGAACTTACCTTTAGTAATTAACAACGGTAAGGTAATTAACAACGGTGACACTTCAGCTATGTTTAGCACACCATAATTGTGCTAAATGCTCTTTTTGCTCTATTTCCAATATTTTTGACTTTGCCATATCTTGGAACTTCAGAAGCAATCAATTCAACTTGATCATTCCAAGTTCCAGTCTCAATTTCTCAAATCTTTCTCTGTTCAAGGGTTTGGTCAAAATATCTGCAAGTTGATTTTCTGCATTACAAAATTCCAATTTAATATTCCCTTGCTCCACATTATCTTTTAGAAAGTGATGCCTAATGTGGATGTGTTTTACCTTAGAGTGCTGAACTGGATCTTTAGAAATACATATAGCACTTGTGTTATCATAGTAAATAGGCACACATTTAAAAATAAAACCAAAATCTCTAACCTATTGCTTTATCCAGAGTACCTGTGAACAACATGTTGCGGCTGCCACTTACTCAGCTTCAGCTGTAGATAATGCAACTGTGTTTTGCTTCTTGGAACCCCAAGAAACTAAATAAGTTCCTTAAAACCGTACCATACCTGAAGTGCTTTTCCTATTAACCAAATCACCTGCATAGTCAGCATCAGTAAAGCCATTTAAATCAAATGAGTCACTTCTAGGATAGAAGAGACACAAGTCATCAATTCCTTTAAAGTATCTAAGGATTCTCTTTACTGCTTTCAGGTGAGACTCCTTTGGGTTTGGTTGGAACCTGGCACAGAAACCTACACTAAAAGATATGTCAGGTCTACTAGCTGTTAGGTAAAGTAAGGATCCAATCTGGTTGTATTACCCATTGGAGTATTATTGGTCTTAGCATTTTCAAGATTGTATTTCTTGAACAATTCCTTGATATACTTTTGTTAATGGATCATGATTTCTTTTTCAGATTTCTTGATTTGCAATCCAGAGGAAGAAATTTAATTCTCCCATCATGCTCATTTCAAACTCTCCACTCATAAGGTCAGCAAAATACTTGCGTAAAGATACATTAGTTGCACCAAATAAAATATCATCAACATGAATTTGTACTCCTAGGATATCAGTTCCATTTGATTTCAAAAACAAGGTTTTATCAATTTTGCCTCGTTTAAAATCATTTTTCAAAAGGAACTTTGATAACCTTTCATACCATGCTGTAGGAGCTTGCTTCAACCCATAAAGAGCTTTGTCAAGCTTATAGACATGGTTTGGGAACTTCTGAATTTCAAATCCAGGAGGTTGTTCCACATAGACCTCTTCATTTAGAAATCCATTTTAAAATGCACATTTAACATCCATCTAGACCAACGTGAATCCCATATAAGTAGCAAAAGCAATAAGTAAACGAATAGCCTCTAACCTGGCTACTAGAGCAAATGTTTCTTCATGGTCTATTCCTTCTTGTTGATTGAAACCTTGTACAACAAGTCTTGCTTTGTTTCTGACAATAATCTCATGCTCATCTAGCTTATTTCTGAACACCCACTTTAAACCTATAGTCTTCTTATTCTTGGGTCTAGGTTCCAGATGTCAGACTTTATTTCTTTCAAACTCATTTAGTTCAGCTTGCATAGCATTAATCCAGTCTGCGTCAGTTAAAGCTTCAACATAGTTCTTAGGTTCCATTTGAGATATCACTCATAATTGTATCTATAGGATGTGACTTATGATATTTCCATCGCTTAGGTGTAAAGTCCTTTACTGGATATAATCTTTCCTAATCGTTGTTGACTGGTTCTTCTGTAGGAACTCGTTCTTGAGTCTCAGTTGGAACTTCAACAGGGTCTTCCTCATTCTGATTTTGATTTTGTTCTTGAGGAGGAGTTCCTGGTGCATTCTCAATTTCTTGATCTTCATTTGCTTCAGGATTCGTTTGCTCAACAATTTCAACTTGCTGCTTCTGCAATGATGTTGACTCTTCTTTTTGGTCTGTCTTGCGTACAAGTCCAATTTCAAAATCATCATGACAATCCTTTACATCATTCAATTGTTCAGTTTCATCAAATATGATATGTACAGATTTCTCAACACACATTGTCCTTTTATTATAAAATCTATATGCTTTACTATTAGAGGCATATCTTAAGAATATTGCCTCATCATTACGTTCATCAAACTTTCCTAAGTTCCTTTTACCATTGTTATGAACAAAGAATTTACAACCAAAAGATCTAAAGTAAGAAATATTAGGCTTTCTCCCTTTAATTAGCTCATAAGGAGTTTTGTTGGTGGTGGCTCTAACTGATACTCTATTAAGAATATAGCATGTTGTATTCACTGCTTCTGCCCAGAAGTTCCTAGGCAGACCACTTGAGATCAGCATTGTTCTAGCCATGTCTTCAAGGCTTATGTTCTTGCGTTCCACCACCATTTTGTTGTGGAGTTCTTGGGGCAGAGAATTTATGATCTATTCCATGCTCAGTGCAAAATTCATTGAACTTTGAGTTTTCAAATTCAGTTTCATGGTCCGATCTGAGGTGAATCTATGGATTACCTGTTCTTCTCTGTTCTTTCTTTACAAAGGCTACAAATACATCAAATATTTCATCTTTACTAACAAGAAAGAAAACCAAAGTAAACCTTGAAAAGTCATCAACAATGACCATAACATATCTCTTACCACTTCTGCTTTGGATTCTCATAGGACCACATAGATCCATATGAATAAGTTCCAAAGGTCTTTTGGTACTTACCATTTTCTTGGACTTAAAAGAAACTCGAGTCTGTTTTCCTCTAACACAAGCATCACACACTTTGTCATACAAGAACTTAATGCAAGGAAGTCCTTCCACTAGTTCCTTAGATCTCAATTTATCAAGTAATGTAAAGCTTGCATGGCCAAATCTCTTGTGCCATAATAGAGGATCATCCTCAATGACACTAAGACAAGTTAAACTTCTATTAGGAACCTTGTTAAGATCCACAACATATGTGTTCCCTTTACGAGTTCCTTCTAAAATAATGTTCCCGGTGTCATTGTGAATGATTCTGCACTTATTGGAAGTAAAGCTTATAGAGTTACCTTTGTCACAAAATTGTGAAATACTTAACAAGTTGTTCTTGAGGCCCTCGAACAAAAATACATTATCAATTGCATGGGAACTTGACCTTCCTACTTTGCCAATAGCAACTATATCTCCTGTCATGTTATCACCAAAGGTCACAGTTCCCCCATAGTAGGCATCCACTGAGAAAAATCTAGATTTATCTCCAGTCATGTGCTTAGAAAAACCACTATAGAGGTACCAAGTGTTGTTCCCCCTCACTGGAAACTGCATGAGAAATCAAATGTTAGTTTCAGGAACCCAGGTTTCCTTGGGTTCCTGTGTAATAGCAGCAGGTTCATAATTCTTCTTGATCCAAATCTGTTTTACATGTTTTTCATTTTTCTGTGTATTCTTTTCTTTCTTAGGACACTTAACCTGTTTGTGTCCAGTATTGCCACAAAAATAACAAACAATACTACTAGGTAGGTCAACATACTTCTTTTCCTTTTGGAACTTCTTTTTGAAACCCAAACCTTTTGTTCTTTTAGTTTGAGCTTTGGTGATCCAATCTGGAAATATGTATCCTACAGGTTGTTTACCTTTCCTGGCTTTCTCAAGTTCCCCCTCAAGTCTTGCCTTATCCGCTTTTATATCTTCCAAATTAGATTTTAGTTTTTCAAAATTCGGATATTGAACAAGTGGAGGAACTTAAGAATCAGGAGTATCAAGACATAGTTTCATCAAGGATAGTTCCACATTTAACATTATGTTATCATGTTTCAACCTGTCTATAGTTTCTTTCAAATAATTATTATCATCAAACAGACTAAAGAATCTATATTGAATATCAAATTACATATTATGAACCCACTCATTGTTTTCTTTCAAAGTTACCAAAGCTTCATCACTTTGCTGTTTAGCTCTATGCAATTCTTTCAATTCTTCTGGAATTTCTAAAACAACAAATATTAAGTTTTCTTTAGAGAAATGTCTAAGTTCTTTTTTAGAAAACCATACGTCAGATTCTAGTTCCTTCATTTTTTCTTTTTCATCAGTTTTTGCCATCAAGCATAGATGCGCAGTTTCCTCTAACGGTTGATCTTCCTCTTCTTCTGAATCCGAAACTCCCCAAGCAGCTAGCATGGCTTTCTTCACATTGTCCTTGGTGAAGTAAGGCTTATAGACTCTTGAATCTTTGGATTGCCCCTTGACCTTTGTCTTTCCTTTCTCACCATCTGGTAGTGGACAATATTTGATGAAGTGATCTTTAGACCCACATTTGAAACAAGTTGTGTTTCTGGAACTTTCATACTTCTTGTTCCTATCAGACTTCTTGTAGTTCATCATCCTTTTGAACTTTCTAACTAGCATTGCCATTTCATCCTCATCAGCTTCCGATTCCTCTAAGTCTTGAGCCTTAAGAGCAAGACTCTTGTTCTTGGAACTTTCAGTATTGGAACTCAGGTGAAGTTCATGAGTCATCAATGATCCAGCTAGTTGTTCCATGTTAAACTTCGTGAAGTCCTTGGCTTCTTGCATGGCAGTAACCTTGGATCTCCATCGCTCATCTTGTGGTAGGCTCCTTAAGATTTTCCTTGCCTGTTCATCAATAGGAATGTGTCTGCCAAGGGAATTCAATTCATTAATAATATCATTGAACCTAGTAAACATTTCCTCTATAGATTCCTTTGATTGCATTTCAAACCTTTCATATCTAGACATTAACAAATCAATCTTAGAACGTTTTACCTCATTAGTACCTTCATGAGTTACCTCTAGTAGATCCTAAATCTGTTTAGCAGACTTGCATTCCATGATACGATTATGTTCATGAGGTCCAAGTCCACAGTGCAAATACTTTATAGCTAAAGCATTAAATTCAAGTTTCTGATAATCTTCCTTATCATAATCAGAAATAAGTTTAGTATCTACCTCGTTCTTATCATTGGTTGCAGTTATTTCAAAATCACCAGTTTCAATAACACGCCAAACCTAGTAATTTTCAGCCTTGATAAAGATCTCCATCCTGTTCTTCCAGTAGGTGTAAAACTTACCATTGAACATGGGTGGACGTTGGGTGGAATACCCTTCTTCAAGTTTCTCCTTGTAATTCATTTCTCCAGGAACTTACTCGGAAAATTATCTGCTTATACGTGAGAACCTTGCTCTGATACCAATTGTTAGTTGAGAAGATTAATACAAGAGGGGGGGGTGAATTGTATTAAGTTCCTAATGACTACTTTTTGCGGATTAATAAACATAGCATATAGGAACTTGCTAGAACACATTGATATTACGAGGAAACCTTTCAGGGCCCAACTGGAAGTAAAACCTCGACCCTGCCTTAGGGATTTCAAACACACAAACTTCACTATAATAGGGCAAACACCAAGTTACAACCTATTAGACACGGACCTTTATTTTCACAAGATCCTCACTAGACTCAGCAAAAATTTATTTGCGACAGGTGAAAATGATTTATTTTCTGCGTTTTTAGAGTGGCAGCAAACGCCAGGGCAGCAAATCAATTGAATAATTTGTTGCGGTTAACAACTGCAGCAAATCAATTCATTGATTTTGCAGCGGTTAATTCCATTAACCCCTGCTAATGAATATTTTTTTACAATTAAAATAGCTGGGTTTTTATTTATCAAACCTGCTGTCATTCTGTCAATCTGATATTCAACTACTAGAAAAGAAAAAAAAACTGAAATCTTATTTGCAATTGTATAAAAAAAATTATATTTCCATTAATAATAGCCTGTAAAAGTACACTTTCATCATAAAAATAAAAATTACAATTGGACAGCATTAGAAATTACAGAAGCTTAACATAATACAGCAGGAGCACAGCCACAACAGACAATATTATGAACTCTGAGATTTAATAACCAAAGAAGTATAGAAGGCAACAACAATAATGGTGTCGATTGGGCAGCAACGGCTAAGGCATCAACATAAATAGCGTTAAGTAGGCAGCAATAGCACGAGTAGCAGTAGCAGCAGCAGAAACAGCACAAGTAGTAGCAGCAGCAACAACAACAACAGGAGTAGCAGCAGCAACAACACGAGCAGCAGCAACTAAAACAGCAAAAGCAACAGCAGCAGCAGCTTTGAGATAGAAGACTGAAGCAACTCCTTTCATTGATGTCCAGTAGCCCTTAAGTGGAGGATTCCGCATGCTACTAAAGGAAAACTTCTATGAGATCATTGTTTTACACTATCACTTCAAAATTTATATCTTTTATCCTACATATAATTAGCAAATATTCTAAATTAAAACAAAAACTTAAAGTTATCATATGCAACAAGTTTGAGCAGCACATTATATTATTACATCAATGAGCTTTCCTTTACCCTCCCATCCCACAAGTCTAATGCTCTCAAATACTCCTTATTTCACTCTCTCAAACACATTCTTTGTCCTCCATCTCTCCTCCCACTAACATAAACCCATTTTATCTTATCTGCAACAAACCCAACCCAAATTAAAATTAAAGCATAAAAATCTCGGCAAAACAAATACTAATTCACCACCAAAATAAGCCTATTTAATCGCTACAGCAAAAAATTCACAATTAGATAACACACACCCCAAATAACTTTCAAATTAAAGAAAATCAATTCACTACAAAGAAGCATAAAATAATGTTATAATTTTATAACATGAAAAAAATGGGTGACAACTATAATATCGCATATCTTCATCAATCCAGGCACAACATAATTCCAGTAACAATTAGCTTCGTCAATTCATCTTACTTGAACTAGGAACCATAATAACAGAGGTAATAAGTACTCTATGACCTTTCGATTTAGTTACCAGAAAAAAATGAGATAATCAGCACAACAAAGTATCATATTATTATTTCTACAAGTGAACAATCAACCTCCAAAAATGCCAAGCAGGACACAATTAAATGGGTGCATGACAAAGAATTGACAAACCAGGAAAATTGCTAAATGTTAAATTGAAACATAATACGATTACATATGAATGGCATAAAATTCAAAAATCTATTTAAAAATTGGAAAAATCGATTATCATTTCGAAACTTGAGCACACTAAAGCAGTCGTATTCATCAAGCTAAGTTAACCCACTAGAATTTCAAACATGCTGAAATCAAATTCTTCACAAATTCAAATCAACTTTCACCTCCTCAATCATCACAAGCAGTAATACCCAAATCACATCTCGGAAGGGAATTCCTCAAAAAATTACGACTCTCTATTTCATTCATAATTAAGGAAATAAAATATACAATTAATTACCTTAGCTTTGACAGTGATAGTCGGCGAGTGAAGGCGGTGGTGAGCACATAGGTTAGCCGTTAGATCGGTGGAACGGTGAGACTTTTGGTTGAACCTAGACCCGAACGCCGACAAGGGTGAGTAGGTGATGAGTGGGTACTAGGGTGATTGAGGGAGAAACTAGAAGTGTCGATGAGAGTGAGTGACAAAGTAGAATCTCTGGTGAGATTGGTGAGCAATCCACCGGTGAGGTAAGTGAGAGAAGATGAAGAGTGTAATGAATGAATTGGGTGGCTAAGGAATAGAGGGGATAGGGTAAATGTAGGATAATTGATTTGCACCGTTTTACTAGAAAACCCCTACTTATTAATAATATTCATAGTACCTATGTGTAAAACCCACTTTAATTTACAGCGAAATGCATAAAATGCAGCAAATTAATAGCAGCAAAGTAATTTTTTTCTAGTAGTGTTCTCTACTATTTATACAAATATCACTCGTATAGAAAGTAAGTTTTCTAAAAGATAAATAAGTTAATTTAACTTATCCTTCAACACGGTTTTATGCAAATCAAGTGGAATAAAATCTTTTTCGGAAAATAAAATTAAAAAGATATTTGTTAAAAAGATTTATCTTTTTAACAAACTGATTTAAAGAAAATAATCTTTTTAGAAAATCTTTTCTTAAAATCTATCTTTTATATTTTCCATTTTATTTACCAAGCCAACTTGTCACGCTTCTAATAAATTTCGTGCAATAACCTACTTATCATATTAACAATAATCTAGAAGATAAAAACCTTAACTAAATATAATTGATGTGTCGCGCTTTTGTTCAGGTAGGTTACTTGGGCTCCAAGCTTATTAAGTTCCACCAAAGAACTTAAGCTTGTTGTCTTCAAGTTCCTGTTAGGTAATGTTCCTGTTAGGGAACTCAGTTCTTGTTAGAGAACTCTTCTTCTGATTTGTTTAACTCCTTCAATAAAGATCTTTTCATGTCTTCTTAGTTCCAGCTACTTCTTTCATCACCATGATCAACTTCACCTAAACTAATCAAACACTTGAAAACCTTTATTAGTTGAGTTTGCTTTAGTTTAAGTTCCTCATCATCAAAACCTTTATGCTTCAACAACACCTTTTCGGGGCTCTCCTATTTTATTACAAGTAGAAAATTAATATTTTTAATTACAGAAATCAAAAACATATTTTTGTATAGTAATACTAATTATTTGCATTGAATTTTTTGCAGATATGGCTAATAGAGAGACTAGAATTAATTAGTCCTCCTGACAACATTGAAAAATACACTCCAAATTGTTTTGTGAGGCGAAAGAAGCGTTTCTCTAAGATGGGTCTCCATGAGTGGGATAAATTTTTTGCCTCTTGCAGCTTTGCTATCAAGTGGGTCGTCCCATATTGGAAAATTGAGAAGATGGTTGGTGTCAACAAGCAACCCTTCTGTCGTCTTCCAAGTTTAACCAAGATGACTTTTTATTATCCCTGTAGGGTAAAAAGGCAGTACGGTCTACTTCAAACAATTTCTTCTGGGGATCTCCATTGTCCCTATGAATTCCCTGTTTCACAAGAAGTATAGAAATTTGACACATATTGGAGTGCTAGGCCTTTATGGGAAGTGATTACCCAAAAGTTTCCTCCTTTATTGCTCAATGATATGAAGAGATGGCTTCTTAATAAGCCTACAAAGGGCATGAAGAAAAATCAGAGTAGAACCAATGTGAAGAACCATCTAGTTGACAAAGTGATTCCTGTTAAGAAACGCATGGGTGAAAAAGTTGAATTTAAAACACCTGTGATACCTAAAAAGGAAGACACTACAAAGGATAAAGAGAAAAGAAAAGCTGACACTTCATAAAAGAAGGTTTGGGTAGAAAAGAATCATAGGGTCCTAGCTAAGAGAGAAATCATTTACTCTAAAATTGAATGTACGTCCTCTAAAGGATGCCGATTAGCTAAAGTCATGGATGATGAAGAGAATGCAGATAAAAATTGGAAGAGGGCAAAGAAAGAGAAGAAAGATTGAAGCATTGTTTAATTTCCAATTTATTAGACTACTTTAAATTTATGTCAATTTATTTTATTAAGAATTTATTTAAATTCCATCAATAATGTAATTTTTTACTTTATTTTATTAATGCAATTTCAGCTTTTTTAATTAACTCTTAAATTTAATTTATTAAAGCAATGAAAACAACTTATTTTATTTTCTAGAAATTTTCTCGAGTACGGAAGTCAAAACTTTTTCGAAATACACCGAAATTTTCTCAGATATTCGCAAAAAATCAGCGCCGCTGTTTTGCGCCTGTCGCCAGACTTTGCTGCCTGTCGTCGGGCGATAAGCTTTGCCGCTTTGCACTGTAGTCTATTGTCCGGCAACAGACTCCTTTCTGTGGCGCTGCTATTGCATTGAGTTTTTATTGACATTGAGATGCGAGGTTTGCGAAAATTAAAGTGGCCGCACCTTGTAAAGGGTTGTCTACGTATCCTTTCCTAAGGAATCAGGTCAAACGTAGCTCTCTTAAGGTTCCTACTCAAGTATTTATGGGTAGTACTTTTTAAGTTGGTCAAGGTTCATCATATTTGAGAATTCATTGCCATCCATATCAGTTAGTTTTGCTGCACCTTCGGATGGAATGGTTTTGACACAATATATGGTCCAGACCAATTAGGCCTAAATTTGCCCCTCGGACCCAAAATATTTTTCCTTAATGCTTTTAACACCAAGTCTCCTACTTTGATGTTTCTTGTCTTGACCTTCTTATTAAAGTGTCTAGCCGTACGGGTTTGATAGCATTGGGTATGATGTTGAGCTTCTAGTCGTTTTTCATCGAGTATAATTAATTATTCATATCTGGCTCTAGTCCATTTGAATTCATCGAGTTTTCTTTCTAGTGTGATGTGTAGAGATGGTATCTTTAGCTCTGCAGGTTGTACGACATCCATTCCATAAACCAAGGAGAAAGACGTATTTCCTATTGATGTGCGAATTAACGTGCGATAACCCCAAAGTGCGAAATGGAGTTTGTCAAGCCAATCCTTGTAGTTTTCTTTCATTTTCTCAATAATAGTCTTTAGATTTTTATTAGCCGCCTCAACTGCTCCATTTGCTTGAGGTCTATAAGGGGAAGAGTGATGATGTTGAATACCATATTTTTGTAACGATTCTTCACACTCTTCTTGAAAGTGAGTTCCATTATCAATTATCATCTCATGTGGGACTCCATATCGACAAATAATATTTCTTTCGATAAAGAGTGCTACATGTTTTACAGTGAGTTTAGCATATGATTGTGCTTCAACCCACTTTGTGAAGTAATCAATTGCTACTAGGATGTATTCGTGACCTCCTGTCCCGTGAGGAATGATTTTACCAATAATATCAATTCCCCTTGTAGAGAATGGCCATGGTGAAGTATAGGTGTAGAGTAGAGATAGAGGAACATGTTGTAAGTTAGCTTAAATTTGGCACTAAGGGTATCTTTTTACATATTGATAACAATCCCTATTCATGGTGGTCCAATAATATCCTTCTCGCATTATCTTTTGGACTAGCATTTTGCCATTAACATGGGTTCCACAAATGCCTTCGTGGAATATCCTCATAGCTCTTTGGGCATCCTTTTTCCCTACACATAAGAGAGCTCGACCCTTAGGTACACTTTTGTGTAACTCGTTGTCTATGAGTACATATTGGGAAGCCAAGAGTCTTAATGTTAGTTTTTCTCTTTTGTCAACATGAGGAGGATATTCTCCTTTGGTGACGTAATTGAGTATATCTGTATACCATGGTTCCTCTTCTTCTTCTTCTTCTTCTTCTTCTTCTTCTTCTTCTTCTTCTTCTTCTTCTTCTTCTTCTTCTTCTTCTTCTTCATCTTTGATCACTTCATCATCTTCTATAGCTTGAATGTAAGCTGGTTTATGCCTTTTTTCTATGGTTAGAGGCATTTGCTCAATTTCCATAAGAATCCTAACAATTGAGGCTAGTCTTGCCAAGGCATCTGTAAATTGGTTTTCCTCTCTAGGTAGATAGGTGTATTCTACCTTTTCCAACTAGTTGGTGAGAGTTTCCAGATAGGTTTGGTAAGGGGCTAGACTTTCACTCCTCATTTTCCATATTTTAGATATTTTGTTGATGATCAGGGAAGACTCTCCGAATATTCGTAATTTCTTCACTCCCAATGCCAAAGCTGTTTCGAGGCCTACCACACATGCTTCGTATTCAACAGCGTTGTAAGTAACGTCAAAATATAACTTTATGGAGATTGGAACGTGCTCTTCTTTAGGTGATACTAATAGTACTCCAACGCCACATCCTTTTTGGTTTGAGGCTCCATCAAAGTATAAAGTCAAAGTATCATCTGTAACCATCAAGTCTTCATCTAGAAATTCGTTGTCAAGAACTGGCGTCAAATCATCTATTGGGAAATCCACTAGGAAGTCCGAGACCACAAATCCTTTGATAGCCTTTTAAGGCATGAATCTTACATCGAATTGGGCTAAATTGACTATTCATCTTGATATAAGCCCATTGAGTGTAGACTTTTCGAATAGATACTTAAGTAGATCCATTTGAGAACTACAAAGACTGTATGCACGAGCATATAATGTCTTAGCTTGGTTGTGGCCCACACCAATGCGAGGCACAATTTCTCAAGCGTTGTGTAGCGTACTTCATACTCGAGCATTTTCTTGCTTAGATAGTAGATTGCATTTTCTTTACCTTCTACTTCTTGTGTAAGAATAGCCCCCATTGTCTCCTTGGTGACTGTTAAGTACAACCTATGTGGGATCCCTAGAAGCGCGGGTGCTAATACGAGAGGATTTGTGAGATAGGCTTTGATCTTTTCAAAGGCTTTTTGACATTCGTCATCCCATATTACTGGCACGTTCTTTTTGAGCTTCTTGAATATTGGTTTGCATATCGTTGTTAGCTTCGATATGAACCTACTTATGTATTGCAACCGGCCAATAAATCCTCAAATTTTTTTCTTGGTTTTGGGCGGTGGCATTGACATGATCGCCTTAATCTTGGTTGGGTCTATCTCTATTCCTCTAGACCTTATGACGTACCCCAAGATCTTGCCAGAGTTGACTCCAAAAGCACACTTGGATGGATTCAACCTCATGTTATATTTTCTTAGCCTTTCGAAGAATTTTCTTAAGGCTACTTGATGTCCTGGGCGATCTTTTGACTTCACAATATATCATCCACATATACTTCAACCTCTTTGTGCATCATATCATGGAGTAGGGCAATTGTTGCTCTTTGGTAAGTAGCACCCGCGTATTTCAACCCGAATGACATTATCGTGTAACAGTAAGTACCCCAAG